GGGGGGGGACCCGGGTGGAGGGGCTTTGGGGGGGGGGGGGGGTGTAGTTGGGAGACTAGATACAACCTCTCCTGGTCCAAGTCAAGTCCCGAGGATGCCGGACCAGGGAGGTCCAACCTGTATTTCCAATCTGGGGACAGTTTATACCTTCATGTCTGGCACAGCTAGGGGCACCCACATGGCCACACAATATGCCAACAACCTTATGGCTGACCACGAAAGTTTCTTCAGCTCTAGCATCCTTCCTCGTACGCCATACTGATGGCCTCATGTGGATTCCTGGGAAGGAGACCCTTGAAGAATTCCCCTGGGATTTCAACCATTTCCACCCCACCATCAATCTCAGCCTAGACCAGTCCACATGAGAGCCACTTCCTTGACACTACAGTGCAATTAAATGACAGCCACATTTCCACCAGCCCACACTGGAAACTTCGTGACCACTACTTTTACGTACATGCCTCTAGCTTCCATCCAGGACTCACACCACACAACTGTTTATAGCCAGGCCCTAAGACACAACCAGATTTGCTCCAATCCCACAGACAGGCACCTGCAGGATCTCTATCAGGCATCCTTAAAACTGAAATCCCCACCTAGGAAGTGAAAACACAGATCAGCAGAGCCAGAGGAGCCCCTGGCTTCAGCTTCGAGACAGGCCCAGCAAGGGGAAAAACAGAAACCCACTCCTCATCACCTATAGCTGCCAGCTTAGGCCCCTCCAGTGCATCATGAGCCTTGGGAGACAGGACAATCCTCACCTACAGACAGCCCTCGACCTGAAGCAAATTCTTTCCAGCAGCCACACAGCCATGCTTACCCAGGAACCTACCCATGCAATAAACCCCAGTGCCAACTCTGTCCACACAGCAACACAACAGCCTAACCACGTAAGCCACAACACCAGGGGCTCATCCACCAACGTAATCTATGCCATCAAGTGCCAGCCAGGCCCCTCTGACAGGTCTATTGGCCAAACCAGACAGTCGCTACACCAAGGGATAAATGGCCACAAGTCAGACATCACAAATGGTCGCACACAAGCCCGCAGGAGCATATTTTAACCTGCCTGGGCGCTCAATGGATGCAAAAGTCACCATTGTGCTACAAAGGAATTTCAGGACCCACCTAGAGAGACTGCAGAACTGGCCTTCATATGCGAATTCAACACTCTCATGGCTTGAGCCGAGACATGAACTGGATAGGCCATTCCATTCAACACCCAAGTGTCATCAAAAGCTACGTATGGGCACTTACAGACTACTACTGGGCTCATTAGCACTGGCACTACTAGGACAGTTCCTCCCCCCTCCTTTCCTGTTATAAGTTTGGAGGTTCCCCCTTTTCCTCCACTCATCTGAAGTAGGTTGTGCCCACGAGAGCTCATGGTACTATACATCTATTCTTATTTCCAAGGTGCTCTTTTTTAAAGTTCCAGACTAAAATTTGAGTGGTAACAGTTAATTGAGGCCCCCCCATCGATTTTCTAGGCATAAGTGGGATGTTTTCTAGTGAGCTTTACTTCATTTATCCACTGAATTTCATTGGCCATTAGGAATCCATCCCTGCTGCACAACTCATGCAAGGGCATCCCCACCACACTTCCAATGCCCTCTAGATTCCGGGGTTCTGAGACCTGGTAAGAGCCAGTTAAAGAGTGTGGAGAATCAAGCCTAATTAAACCCTTGAAACAGAATGGTGGACTGGAGTCTGGTGCACCACCCCCCTTCCTAGGAAATATTTGTGCTTACTGCAGGCCCTGAAAAACCTCCCTCCCCATGCGAGTGAAGGGTAAAGGACGTTCAAATAGTTCTTTAGAGTAGGTTCTCATCATAGCTCCATTAAGAGGACACCAGCAAGCTTAAAGATCTCACATCCCACCTCATCCCTGGCATGTCTCAAGGGCCTCTCACTGAAGCAGAGAAAAAGCTCTTACCAAGAGGGGTGATCCGGGGCTGTACATCCTTGAGAACTTCATGTAACCACTCAGTAAACCGTATGTAATAGAGATCTGAGAAAATGTCATCTACTCGTCCATTTTCAAAAAGATACTGCAAGAGACAGTCACAACAGTCTGATAGAGGGCAGCAAGCAAGTTCCTCCCAGAGCAGCCTTCTCTCCTTGGGATGGAGCAAGTCCCCTTCGGGGCACTAGTCAGATTTATGCATTTTCTGCTTTATTGCAGTCATTGCTGGAGAGGTCCCACAAATACACCTGGGAGAGTACAAAGACCCCTGTGCCGGTAAGTGCACCAGGAAGGATCTAGTACTGATGTGAGTGAACATGAAGAGTCTTAAAAGCAAAAAAGTGGCAAGGCCTCAGCTTTCTATTTAAAGAAGGATGCATTTATTTGAAGCGTTACACTGAGCTTGCTGCCCTGCTTTGGGGGTATGAATAGCCTCTTCTTCGTCAAAGAAAATGCTGTTGCAAACCCAAATTCTCACCAAGTAATCAAGCTCAAATATGAATGGAGGCCACGTCAAAGCTGAAATTAATGATTTTAAATAAGACAGACTAGATCTAGAACATTATACTTTGCTTGAAAAGCTTCCCTGTTGCATTTTAAACCACATTATTTCTTTCGGTTAATATTTTGTTTTTAATTGCATGCTAGTATCACTTTAAAAATCTTATCTACTAATTAAGGTCTCAAAGTGTTAAAATGAATGTTTCAGCAAACTCAGAAGAGGTTTTCTGAATGGATTTGTTTTTCCATAAACAAAGCTAGAGAGCTTGATATTGGATATTAGGAAAAACCATTTCCCTAGACGGGTGGGAAGCACTGGGCTGGGTTCCCATGGGAGGGGGTGGAATCTCCATCCCTAGAGGGTTTTTAAGTCTCGGCTTGACAAAGCCCTGGCTGGGATGATTTAGTTGGGGTGGGTCCTGCCTTGGGCAGGGGGCTGGGCTGGACGGCCTCCTGAGGTCTCTTCCAGCCCTAGGATTCTGTGATATTAATAGCAAGTGCCAGCCTCATGCCAAGTCTTACACAGAGAATGCTACGTACAAACATCTGGTTGCAGCATGTGCACGCTACATAAAATAAGAGACGAGCGCTCCCCACTCCTACCTTCTGAATACATAGGAAGATATAGTACAATACATCTGGATCGTATGGCTCGCCTTCACCATTGCGAGCTTCTCGTGTCATCAAGCACAGCCCGTAATTCAACTCTGCCACAGCAGAAGAGATGAGATCTTCCTGGAATCTCAGCAGCTGGCGTCCTGCAAAGCAAAATGTCATGATGAATTTGCTTAAAAAAGGCAGTCTCTGTTTCTCAAGCATGATCTACTATTTCACTCCTGCCCAACGTGCTCTTCCCCACCTCCAAACAGCTCCTTTTGCACCTCGTGCTCCCGACCATAAGATCACAATGGGAGCACTGGAGACCTTCAGGTTTCAGAAGTTGACTCAAGCAGGAAGACACATTTAGAAACAACTGACCCTGTCACCGCCACAACGCACTCTAGATGGGGACCCTCTCCATCATTATCTGCAATTAAATATTTGTCCTGCTGCAGTGGGAAAGCAAGGACACACACAAGAGCATTTGCTGATTCAGGAATTAGCTGGTGCAGGAGGCTGTTTTGTTTCATTGATCCTACATTGCTTTTTCTATGGCCAGATGACTAGGTTCCTGAGTTTGTAAACTCAATGTGGAACACAAAATACTTCCTGGAACACTGCAGGATTCAGTTAGCAAAAAACAAACCATTCTTAGGCTTGGAAGGTTAGATTTTTATTTGGCAAATGTTGTTAAGTGTTAATCTCGCTATATGCAAGCCAATGAAAAAATATTTCCATTGATAATTAAAGTTTACAGATAAGCAGCATTTCATACTTGAGTGATTTAAGGATATTTTTGTATGTTTTAACAGATGTTGACAATTTGTGTTGTCAACACATTAAAACAGCCAATGGTTGGAAAAGCGACAAGGAGTCCTTTGACACCTTACAGACTAACAGATTATTGGAGCACAAGCTTTCGTGGGCAAAGATCCACTTCGTCAGATGCATGTTATGGTTGGAAACAAATTTGTTGCAATACCTGCTGTCATTAAATAGTCACAGGTTTGCCCCCATGATTTTTTGGAATTAAATTTAAAAATAGGGAAAGTGTATTTGTAGATATATGCACAGCCCTGGCCCAACCCTTTATCGCACTGTGACAAGTTGAATGGAAGATCAAACTACACAGTCACCATTCGAACCAAGGAGTTTTCCTAAGAGGAGAGGGATGGAGACCAATGCAGGGGTTCTGGGCCCAAGAAATGGACCCTTAAAATCAGAGTAGGAGGAAGGGCTGAGAGACGTGGTGCTTAGGACTCTAGTGCGAGCCAAGCGTAGGCTTGTTTCATTGGCTTGAAAGCAAGTGGCTAGTGGAGGAAGCCTGGAGTACGACGTGCCATGCCAGACAACACTTACTGCCGATAGGGGCTAGCCTGTTCTGAGACTCCTTTTCCAGCTCTGCATTCTTGGTCTGGGCCCAGCTTTTCCACACTTCAAGCCCTTCTTCTGGCTTCAGGGAGTTCGGAAGCAGCAGCTCAGGTGAAGGCTGGGGCTGGGGCTGCGGCTCCACTTCAGCCACCTGAACAGTTTGTGCCTGTGAAAGGAAAGCCACTTCGTCAGGTCCCCTCAAGATGCAACAAGGCAGCCAAAATAGGGCAGCATCTGCCTCACGGCCCTCTTCCTGCAGGACTGTCTCCGACCCTGGCCAGCAGCCCCTCCCTCCCAGCAGCGGGATGAAGAGCAACACCCCTCGACAGGCACGGAGCATGACCCTGCGGGAGGGCTTCAGGGTTACAGCAGTGAACTTGCAAGAACAGCAAATATAAAGAATTGATCCCCAAGACCAGCGACATTTTCACTCTAGGCAGGTGTTCTGCAAAGCCTCCAGACCACTCCCCAGTGGCCACTTAAAGTCCGTACTGCAGAAAGCGGCAAAGTGGGCCCAGCCATTTGTCCAGATCACGAAGCCCATTCATATTTCCCTTACACCTGCACAGAGGGAAACAAACGCTCACCAGAAGGAAAGAGCTTTACAGGACTCAAACCCTCTCACCATGACTAGAAGGAGGGAATCCCTGATTTATCGGGCTCCATTAGCTTCACTTCCCCCTGGCTGACAGGGGACATTAGCTTCCGGGTTTCAAAAACCATTGCATTAGGTATAGAATTAACAGCAGTACAATGCATGCCGAGGACTGGGCTCAGGACCCAGGTATCTGGCACAGAGAGAAAGGCCGCCCTCTAGTGGGAGACAGCAGCAAGGTGACAACTTTTTAAAAAACCCTCTGTTCGACTAACACAGCTACCCCTCCCAGACTTAACACCCATACAAATACTCTGGGGCAAGTTCTAGCTATTCCAGCCAGCGGGCATATTCTCTCTGCTTTATCAACTGCGTCCTCCACTTGACAGAAGAGTCAGTGGCAATCAACGGAAAAAACAAATAAATAGTTGGGTAGCACTTTAAAGATTAACAAGACATGAAGATGGTATCATGAGCTTTTGTGGGCACAACTCACTTCCTCAGATGAATGGATCAAGGAGTCCAGGGTACAAATATTTAATGTTTTTATTTATACCCTGCTCCCCCTCATCTGAAGAAGTGGGCTGTGCGTACGAAAGCTCTGATCCCATCTACATCTTTTGTTATTCTTTCAAGTGCTACCAGACCATTTGCTGTTGGTTAAGTTTTTCCTGTTAGACTAACTCAGCTACCCCCTGAAACTTTTGCTAAATGGCACTTGCACCAGCACTGCAGTTTATGGACACGAAGGTTAAAAAGGGCCACTCACATGGACTTTTCATTCCAAAGTAATTACCAAGACTGCAGCTGTTGTGCAAAGCAACACCCCGGCATGCACAATGGGGTCACCTGTTGATAGCCTGCTCCATTCCGCAAGAGCAGGATGCTGGCCAATGCTCGTTTCACCTATTTACATGAATGAGCAGATATCTGGTCATGTGGTGTAATCTATCACCACCTTTAAGAGTCAGTTTCACCAATTCAATCTCAACCTATTGAAAGTTAGCTGCTAGTCACGGCCAGCATTCTGAGAGATGTCTGACAGATGCCCGCATCTGCAGAGAAGCTGAGCAAGAACACTGCAAGAGGAGCATTCCCTGGACAACAGGGCTCTGGAGTCAAAGGGCTGTCACCTCAATCTGCAGACCTCACAACATGGTGCCCCTCTGCAGACCCTCACTCCGGCCTGCTCATCCAGCACCTCCTCCACAGGCTGACCAAGCACCAGACACTTAACTCCCTTCCACACAGAGCTTTTCCTCCTCCTCCTCCTCCAGAGCTTTTAGAGTTACTCGAACAGAACGCTAATGGATTAAGAGCAAGCTTCAACTGTTCATTTGAGCAAAGGCTGTGCTCCCATCCCATTCGCTCTGGACATTTCACATTAGGGATTCTTAGCCAATCCAGGGCCTCCTTTTCATACCCACTCCTATTCAAGAAGGGTAAAGGAGAGCCACAGGCACACCCTACAATTAAGCAATTTATCAACACAAAAGATTCAATGTCTGCTTGCTGAAGCTCTTTCCTTGGAAGCCTCCTCCAGCTAATGCCCTCCCGCTAGAAGGATGCTGAAGACAATGCAAGGTTTGCAAGGGAGAAATCCACAGCATTCCTGGCCAATGAAAACCAAGTCTGCTAAATGTTTTTAGACACCAGCAGAGTGCCCCACAGCATCAGCTCTCCTGCATCATCTGCCAGCAGATGTTTGCACACCAGCATCCATATTACAGGAAGTGGGGCAAGGGCAGAATCAGAAAGCCAGGCCTTGAATTGATCACCAGGGCCGATGGCGGAAGGTTAACCGTCCTGGAGAAAGACAGCCCTTGGCTGACACTGCCCCACATGTGCAGAGCAACTCTTCTTCCTGAATGCGGTCTCCTAGCCCTTGAGATAACAAAGCTTTCATTGCCACGCAGCCTACCAAGAGCAGCTCTGCTCATCTTCCAGCAAGTGCCTCACAGCTCTCCAGCTGGGATAAGAGGCCATTTCCAGGGTAGTGAATTGACATGCTTCTACTTTGCCTTACTCAGGACAGACACACCCTGGTCAGAGCCAGCCCCAGATGGCTGTGGGGCATAGCAAGGCTGCAGCAGCAGGGTACGGAGCTTTGCTTTCTGAGGTGCTCATTCCACAGCAAACGCCTCTTAATACTCCTACAGCAGCAAGGAGTGTCAACAGAGCCACACGATTACTCTACAGGTGGGTCTAGGGACAGGCCCAAAAGAACAGAGGTTTAGTCATCATGGCTGCCTTATCACCCTTGCTCTGCGATGGAAGGCTGCATTCCCACAGCCCGATAAGTCTGGGAATAGGGATACACACTACTTGCCAGCAAACCAAAGCAGCGCAATCAGCACTCTGCATCCAATGTTGCTATGGGTGTGCGGTAGCTGGGTGCAGGGGAATGTTAACTTGTTGCGGGGGAAGGGCATTCATCAGGTGTGATGAGTTATCACTCCCGGAGGAGGGGTTAGACTGCTTCCAGCTGAATTCACACTGCCAGAGAGGTCCTCAAATAGGACCAAGTTCAGAAAAGAGCTACAAGAATGGCCAGAGGTCCAGAAAATATCTGCCTTACAGGGATAGGCTAAAGCAGCTCAACCTATTTAGACATGGGAGGTTTGGGGAGATTAGACAGCAGAGGGCTCTAGAATCCCAACAGATGAAGGCAGAACATCCAAAGATTAGATGCTGAAGCTAAACAAAATGTAGACCAGAAATAAGGTAGTGCTGAAGGAGGGTAACTGACCACTAGAACTTACTGAGAGATGTGGTGGGTTCTCTTAACGCCCATTTTAAAGATTCCCTCCTGGCTGCGTAGAGTGTTAGGGCTGATGTACAAATCACTTGGTGACATTGCACGGCCTGTGTTAGTCAATGTCAGAAAAATTGCCAAGTGATCCCTTCTGACCTCAAAACCTACGGTTGAAATCCTAGCTTCGCTGAAGTCAGTGGAAAAGCCTCCATGTATTTCAGCAGAGCCAGGATTTAAGCTGGTGACATGTGGCCACAGAGGCATCTGGCTATTAAACTGACTTCTAGACAGCGAGAGTATTCCTGCCACCAGCAGTTCAATTTATTTTGTAATTAACTCTTCCTTGCTTTCATTACGTTTTAAAACAATCTTTCTTCCGATACATTTGCACTGGTGGATTCTGGGGCCTGGTTTCTCAGTTCAGTTAGTGACATGCTAGTCACTTTCCTGTCCTCATGGGCTGGTACAATGTTCAGACACACCCAAAAAGGGTTTATGAAATTTAAAAAAGCTAAAATGTAAAAACATTTGATGGCCTTAAGTTACCTATTCCCCTTTAAAGACAGCAATACATTTGGCCATCATGTACATTCAAGCACTCTTTACAAAAATAGAGGTTTAAACTAGCTTGCAGTATTCTCATATTATTGCTGTATTCCTGCACACCAGGCATTTACTAGAAACTGGACCTGGTGTAGAACAGCCTGCATCTATCTGATCATCAATGAGATGGGTCAAGCCCTCAGCTTTGTCAAGTGTTTCATGCCACCGAGTGCGGCGATTCAAAGTAACTGGTGCAGGGGCTAGCATCTGGTGCATTGCATTAGTTCCACTGGGGGCAGGAGAAGGTGCTAGCCATTCGGATGCAGTGCCCCAAACAGCTCAGAACATTCACTTGGCCCAGGAGAGTACCGGAGAACTAAGAATACAGGCTATTAAGCCTGCTACAAGCATATTGCCTTCTTTACACTAGAGACCAGACCTGTTTCCCCTTTGCATTCTTGCCCCCCATAATCATGCCCTTGTCCCAAGCAAGTAACTGACAAATGCACGACTACAGACTGGTCACTCGCTCAGCGTCCTGTGTACATTACCAGACCGCACACACAAAGCACAGGGTGCCTGACCGAAGCATCTCCCCCTACACCAGCAACAGGTGGCTAAAAGCAAGGGCCGGCCCAAGAGGAGCAGTTCTACTCACAGAGCAAGTCACTTGTAGCTGCTGCTGCCCCTGCTCTTGGGGCGTGGGCTGCTGCTGCTGCTGCGGGTCCCATATGTGCACCGTCTGAGCAGCGTTCTGGTATGTCCCTGCCACAGCCTGCACGGCCACTGGAATGTGGATGTTGCCGTTCATGAACTGTGCTGGAAAGAGCGAGTTTGCAATTGTTTGCACCACTTCCTCCTGGGAGTTTTTCACTACAGAGGCACCTCCCACCATCTTATCCTTGTCATCCTCCAGCTTCACAGCAGCCAGCGTCGTGGGCGAGCCACTGACGTGGACAGCGTTGTAAGCCTCCTGAGGGATGGCGATGTGGGTTATGTTTTGCTGCTGAAGGTCACCACGTGGCTGAGCAGAGTAAACAGGGATGGTCCAAGTCTCTCCAGTGGGGCTAGTGATGGTCCCAGTGGCACTGTACAGATGGGCACTGTCCACTGTTAACAAGTCCGGCCTTAGGGACACATAACTCTGCTGCTGGCCTTGAGGAATGGCCAACACCGTGGCAACTGGCTGCCCAGAAATGGCATAGGACACAGTAATAGGCATATCTACTTTGCGCTTCTTCACCGGCTGCAGGACACTGGCGGTGCTGATCCGCCGCTCGCCTTCCCGCGGGGAGCCCTGCTGAGAAGGCGGAGGTGACAGCGCCCCGACTGTCTGAATCTGGATCTGTTGGCCACCAGCAATGGCCTGCCCCGACACAAGCTGAGCCTGGATCTGCTGGTGCTGTATGTGCTCCTCCTGGATCTCAGTGGCCTGGATCTGCTGGGCAGTCTGCACATGCTGCACCTGGATCTGAGCCGCTTGCAGCTGAGAGGGGCTAGGGCTCTGCAGAGACTGGCTCTGTATCGTCTGGGGAGCCTGCTGCTGAGCCTGGCCTTGGATCTGAACTTGGACCTGGATTGGCTGCTCTGAGGCTTGGTGCACAGTGAGCTGGGGGGAGAGCTGCTGGGCAGAGACCTGTTGTGGGGACTGCTGGACCTGGACTTGCACCTGTAACAGTAAGAATGCAGCAGTTAGTGAGGGGCAGGGGGAAGAAGAGCCGTAGATCAGCGGTGAGGCTGGGGCCAACGCGGTTTGTGTATTCTAGAGCTCTCTCCTGCATTAATTTAGCCCAGTGTTTCTCAACTTTTTTTTTAAAGTACCTCTTTCTCAAAGTTTCCCCCCCCCCCCAGTTTTCAGACAAATTTTCTCTCTACCATTGCAACACGTTTGTTTAAACAGCTTAATCGTAGCCAGGGTGGGCGATGAAATTTATGGGTGTAAAAAGGACAAAAATAATAAAGCGCTGTAAAACAATTATTCAGTTCTCCAAATTCAGTTGTGTTGAGGTGCCCCCAGACTGAGTGCCACAAGGGGACTCCTAGCACTGCTTGAGACACACTGATCCAGCACACAACCCCGATCACCAGGACCCTAGAGGAAGTGTAGGAAGGGGGGCACTTCAAGAAGCATCTGATCTGTGAGAAGGGGAAGGGGAAGGGGACTGCCAGATTTCCTCAGCACAATTCACTGCACTCAAGTTCAAACACTACCACACCCTACTTCCCAAGAAGTCCAGGCCATAACAGACAGACAGACATCAGACATCTTGGGGAGCTAAAGACTAGTCAGCACTGACAGGATGTGCACCAGAGACAGACAGCCCACCTCACAGCACCATAAGGTTGTGCCTGATGCAAACAATCCATGCTAGTGTTAACAAACATTCCCTTTGCTACAGAATGCAAATGTTTGACTTACACAGCTCTTGCAGCAACCTACAGACGGAACAAGGCAACAGGTTTCATCCTCCACTCAGTGCCCTTGGATGGGGAGTGGCATACTAAGTACATTGGAGCAAGTCTCTTAAAGGAGGGGCATAGTGTTACTACACAGAAACCATGGCCCACTCACCTACCCATGGCATTAAGAGTTGCACTAGGTGAATGGGTATCCCAGTGGAAGGAACTGCAGAAAGTCTAGAGTTGGGTCCCCTCTTGTAGCGGTAGATGGACTAGATCAGTGGGTTTCAAACTAAGGGTCATGGCCCGTCCTGGCTCTCAGAACACCAGGCAATGTCCTGGCTTGCCTTGCTGTAGGGTGATCAGCAGGTGCTAATGCAGGCTTCCTCCTGGTTCTGGGACCACAGACCGTGCTGCACCCTGTAGGCAGCCAGCGCCAGGCCCACCTCCCAGGACTCTGCATGTTGCCCCAGTCCCAAGCACTGGCTCCGCACTCCCACTGGCTGGGAACCAGGCAACAGAAGCCCGGAGGGGGTGGGGGTGCAGGAAAGAGGGGAGAGGCGCCAGAGCCTGCAGATAAGAACACCTGAGACTCCACCTAGCAGCTGGACCTGCTGCAGCACAATCTGTGGTGCCAAAGAGGCAGGAACCCTGACTTAGCACGACTGATCAGGGGCTGCTGGAGGGAAGCCCACCCCCAAGGCCCGACCTCCCCCTTGTCCCAGCCCAGAGCCTGCATTCCCAGACAAAGCTTGCACCCCCTTTGCACTCACCGTGAACCCCTCTGCCCCACCTCCTAGCCTGGAAATCCCTCTTGCACTCCCAACACCTCATCCCTTACCCCAGCCCAGCGCCTGCACCCCCCCCAAAACCCCTCCTCCCCAGTCCCAGCCCGGAGCCTGCACGCTCGTCAAAAGATAATAGTGTAAGATCATGGGCACCAACAATTAGCCTTAACAGGGTTGCAAAAGTTTCAAACTCTCAGGACCTGATGGCCTAGTCCCTTCCAAACCTACCCGTTCACAAAGCTATCGCGCCCTCTCAGTCCTCCTGTTGGCTCCATGCTGCAACATCACCGTCAAGTCCCTTCACAACTCGGCTCCACAGGCACCTGCTCCTGTCTCCATGCTACACCTGCCCGAAGGCTCCACCAATGATACCAGCCCTGCACGGCCATTTCTCTACTTGTTCCATAAGCCACCTCAAGAGTCTGCCCCCGAGAAAGGGGCTATATGGAACGCCTCGCACAAATTCTCCTACAAGATCACCACTCTCCTTCCCCCAGGAGCTTTAGAAATCAGGCAACCGATGGATGGCCATGGAACATATTAGCCAAAAATTTATTTAATGCTTTGATCATCTGGAACCAAGAGCTAAGCTAGATGCATGCTCTTATTTTCCTTTATGCTGTCCTTCCCTCTGATTTGCCTCACTTACTGGATTCAAAATTATATTGCAAGCTCCTATTTGCCAAAAGGGGCCCTACTACTGACTGGGACTTTTTTCCTGACTTATGTTGTGCATATTGCAGTAGCTTTCAAAGATCCTTCCCTAAAATACTCAGGGTACATCTAGACTGCAGGGTTCTTTTGGAAGAGATCTTTCGGAGCATCCACACTGAATGGACGCACTCTCGCACTTAAGATGGGATTACTATGGATGAGTGGCCACCAAGGCACCTGTGCTTTTTCCCCCCTCTTCTTCCGAAAAAACTCCCTCTTCCACGTCCACACACACCTTTTTCCAAAGAGCTTTCAGAAACGGCGTTTTGTCAAATGAGGTTTACCAATGTCGGAAAAACCCGTTCTTCCGATTTTCTTTCAAAAGAGCACAATAGCAGTGTGGACGTAAGTGAAGTTTTCGGAAAAACGGCCATTTAAAAAAAACCTGCAGTCTAAATGCACCCTCAGAGTCCCAGAAGGTCTTATTAAAAACGTCATTTCAAGGATGCCCTTGAACTTAAGAGTTGCCAAGGAAAACTGGGGCAGGCAAGGAAGCAGTCACATTTTAAGTCACCTCCAGTTGAAACGATCTGATTCTACTCCCTGCCACACAGCCAGAGCAGTGTGCACCACACTGTAATGCAGAGGTGGATTTGATATAATTTCCTACAAGGTAACAAGAAACATTTGGTCTCTTGCCAATAAAACAACTTAAATCAATGAATGATCTAATTAGGCAGTTAACTGAAACAGATGAAGTCAGGCATGAGCTAATGTTCCACAGCTTGTAGTTTCTTTTCCTTTACTTACCAATATTTAGCTCATGTACAGAAAGCACTCTATTGTCCTGTATTAAGGGAAGCAAAGATCAAAGATTGGGCTGGGTTTTCAGAAACACCAAAGTGACTTAAAAGAACTTCTAATGGGACACAGACTGTTAAATCACTCAGGTGCTCTTGAAAACCCCAGCCTAAAAACACAAAGTGAGATACCTAGACAACACACAAAATCTGCCACCTAGCACTATTTTTCCACGGCCACTTAATACACACTAGCTGTACTTAAGCCCTCACTCTAGTGCTGGCCAGATAGCAATGATGCAGAGACTCAAAATACGAAGTAAACAAAAAACCGCAGTGTTATTTCCACAGCTTTACACAAAACAAGAATGCGAATGAAAAGATGACAAGAATTTTCCAATTTCTTGGAGGCTACCACAGTAAATGGGTGTTTGCTGAGGATAGCAAGTAAAGCAACACCCAGAACTCCAGGAATGCTGGCTATATATGAATGCACACTGAAAGGCCTGACCAGGTTGACAGGGGCCCTTACATTTAAAAAGATATTTTCACAAGGTATCCACTGCTTTCTCTGTAGTAGCTCAAAGTCTGTTCCATTGTCTTAGTGCACACAAAACTGCACCTCTTACTAGTCCCCAGAAGGCAGCACTGCTTTTGTTTCTTATGTCAGTGGAGGGGACTAGACTTCCTATTACATACAAAGGCTGTCTCAAACAGAAGGCTAGTGCACCCACAGAAAGATAGCAAGACTGGTTTATTTCAAAGCAACAGCCACCTCCATTCCTAGATGCAGCCAGGGCAGCACACCAGCATGTTTCTATTTTAACTCTCGTTTTACAGCCTACTCCTACTGACTGACAGACGAGTGGGGAAAGTTTGGTCAGGTTAAGCGAGTGCAGGATCAAAGCCTGCTACTCCCCAGAGCAAAATCTCAGTCACTCCCATTCTAGCACATCTTGTAAAAAGGTCTGCTTGTGTGGCCACTCTCAGATACACAGCTGTAGAACCTAAGAGACAGACTAAGGAAGTAGGTTGACAGGTTAAAACACATTGATGAGCTGAAGCGGCGAGGAGTCCTGTGGCACCTTATAGACTAACCGAAGTGTTGGAGCATAAGCTTTCGTGGGCAAAGACCCACTTTGTCATCTGATGAAGTGGGTCTTTGCTCACAAAAGCTTATGCTCCAACACTTCGGTTGGTCTATAGGATTCAGACTAACCCCTCCAATAATTGATGAGCTGCTAATTCTTTACAACTTCTCCAGATCCTCCAAACCTTTCCACAGACTTATCTGTCACCAAACTGACTTCATCTGAACTGAGATAGCTTCAGTATCCCTTTGCTGGGGGAGGAACTATTGCCCCCTCCCTCCAATATTTTCTCCCTCCAACAGCTCTACACTGTAGCAACCCACATCCTGCTAGATTAGAGTAACCAACGCTCCCCCATAAGTCAGCCGGAAGGGCTTGCTAGAGAGCAATGCAAGGCACACCCATCAAAGCAGTCCCAAACCTCTCCTAGCCCAGCATCCAAACTTGCTAGGTTTGCCTCTCACGACCTTTACCTCGGCAAGAGCTAGGAAAAAGCCAACCTATTAGGAAAAAAGATGAAGTGGCATTTTCTGTATAGGACCAACGACCTCTGGGGCTGACTTTAGAAAGAGAAACACTCAAGTCTCTACCAGTCCGCAGGCTAAGCCCAGTAGAGAAACTCCATCTGCCTCAGTACTCAGGAGGCAGCATAAAACTCTTTAAACAGCAGCTTCCACACCCGGAGTCCCCAGCATGCAGCCATCATAGGGCCAGGGATCATCCCAAGCCCACTGGCCCCGAGACCAAATACAAAGTTCACTGACGAAGATTATCTAGAGATCAGTTCTCGCCAAGTAAGAGCTGGTGCACGACTCCACAAGCCAACTCTGGCTTTTACAGGGCAAGGGCCATAGAGCAGGGCTAGTGTTCTAATAAGCAGAATGATTGTTTCCGCAGGCTTCCAGAACAGCTTCACTGCCAAGATTCTTTCAGACCAAGCTCCCCATCACATTCTGTGCAAGGGTAAAAGTAGCAATCGGACCACAGGTCACAGACCCCCAAGGTACAGTTCTTCCAGAACAGTCCTGAGTCTGTAAGATTTCCAGCATTTGATTATGTAGGTTTAAACATCCTGAGCACCTAGGACATATAGAAAGATGCTCTTTGTAGCATGTGTGTAAGTCTAGAAGTGATTTTGGAACCAGACTAGTGCTCTATTCCAAGCAGTGCTTAAGCAGAAGGCAACAGACAACTGCTTTACGAGAAATCATTTATCACAAGATCTGAGTGATCAAGTCCTATGGGGAGCTTATAAATCAGTCTCTCCAAGTTTAACCAACAGCCATGTAAGTCTGAGCTCTGAAAGCGAAGCTGGGATTTTACCTGCTCACCACCACAAAAGATTCTGTCTTCGGTTTTGACTATGCAAAACCACCGCCTTCAAGTTATACAGGTGAGCCTGATAAATCCTAAATACGGGTCCAAAAGCTAATGATTCTGTTGATGCATGAAATATAAAAAGCAGCTTTGGTTGTCTTTGCCACAGAACTCAATAGATCTGATCCCAAATATGCAGAGAACTGATCTACTGAATAAAGAGGGGCCATTTTTACAGTACTTCTCTAGCAGAGCCATAGTTTTAAAGCTTGAGGGGTTTAACAGATTAGGAAACCCCTCAAAAAGCAGACTGAACTACTCTGCAGATATTCAGGCAGGGAAAAGCAAGTCACAGAACCTGAGTAGTGCATTCCGTGCACGATTCTAGAAAAGAATCTGCACATCTGTGGCAACAAGATTAAGGTCTTTCAAGCTTCTTTCTCCACCTCCCATCCACTGGATACTCACTGTTTCTCCATAACGGGTCTGAAATTGTGGAACAAGATGCGTCTTCAGCTAAGGAGAATGGACAAAAGTAAAACCACAAGTAAGGAGATGTGCCATCAGCATGGCATACATTGCTTCTCAGCTGCTGCAGGTACCTAACCCTTTACTATACAATTATACCAAAGCAGGTCCCTTCACAGCAGTAACAGGCTCCAGAACCGCAGAGGTTAGGAATGGAATCGCTCCATTTTCTAAGTCATAGAACTGAACCAAAAGGAGTGCCAAGAATCTTGAAACCTGGAACACACCAAATTTCACAACAACATTTGACACTGACAGGAGCTGTAACAGAAGCCACAAGTAAACACTCTCCTGCTAGTATTTGGTGTTCAGGAGGGATGGTGTAAGAAAAGGAGAAAGACTAATTATGCTGCATGGGAAGACAGTCACTTACCCATTTTGGAGAGAAACTTACTATGGATATCTCCAGAGCCACACAGGGAGAGAGATGAGGAATGCCTGGCCGGAGTAATAAGCATCTAAGGCCAGAAGGGACAATCAGATCATCTAGTCTGGCCTGTCTAGCACAAGCCAATACCATCTGGCACGTGCACACGACATCCAACAACTGAAGTGAGACCAAAAAATCTCTCACCCCACAGGAGCCTACTGTTACATGCCATGTGCAGAAAGACTGAGATGCACCAGTGCCCAAGGCCCTGCAATGGCAGGAAAAGGATTGCGATGCCCCAGGATTATCCTGGCAAGCAACTCGCATCCATGCATTGCCTAATTTCATTAATTAAATGCAGGCTCTAGAAAGCATGTGACAGTTTTACTTTACATGTAACCACGTGTTTCTAAGACTGAGTTACTACTTCTGACTCTCTCTACCTCATGAAACATTCGCTTGCTTTGACTACAAACAGACCTAAGCTTTGTGTGTTTCACTGAAGAGAC